AAAATTTTAAATTTAAAAACATTAATTAACTTTAGCCGAATCATTTTGGGTTGACCTGATTTAATTTTAACCTAATTCAATCAGGTCTAAATAATTTTAATCTGAGTTATATCTAATTTTAGATTAATACTTTAAAAGCTTAAACACATGATCCCACCCCTTATAGTGAGTGGGTTTGGGTTGGGTTGAATTTTCATACTAAATCCAATTTTACCAAGTCTAATAAAAATTTAAAATAAAAATTATATCTGTGACACAATAGTAGTCATGATGGCAAGGAATTACCACCTGGTGTTGACAGGACAATAGGTAACAGAATTTTAATGAGCACACAATGTTGTCATTCATTTTGAGCTTTTTCATTCATATTGAAAATATAAGGAACCAAAACTTTCATAATATGAATCAAGAGGTTGATACTCTCATAATCAATAAAATAAAGAGATGGCCATAGATTTTCACCATATATAAAGTAGGATTTAGGAAAGAATTATCCATATTTTGATGGAGATGTGCAGTATTCAGAAGAATCACCACTTACTTTCTTCTTTAAGAAAGATTTAAAGGAAAATCACAACTTTCTAAAATGTGTGTTTTTTTTTTTAGGAAAATGTCCGTATATTAATTCCATTTTGTCTTTCCTTATGATTATTTTTTTAATAATTTTTGTAGCATAGTACAGGTAATCATTTTATATATTTATAACTTAAATATGAGACATTTTATTTTTATAGAAAGAAGACAAATAATTTAAATAGTTGATTTTTTTATTTAAATTATTTACCATTCTTCAGTAACAAATTTCTTTTTTTTTCTTTTGAATATGGAGAATTATTGAGAAAGGAAAAAATTTTCAAATAGTTGGTACAAAGTAACGAATTGAAATCATCTTCGAATCAAGTTCAAATTTGCAGGGACAAATTTGACTAAAATATGATGGTAGAAGAATCAAGTTAACCTAAACATTTTGTACAATATGGGTAAAATTGACTTAAATCAAACAGTGAAAAGGATAAATTTGACTAAATTTTTTTTTTCATAAATAAAAATGACCAAACCTTAAAAATATAGAGATGTTTTAGCGACGGGCAACAATTTTAGTGTCCTAGTAATAATTTTCATTTTATAACAATGAAAAAGTTTAGATTTGAATTCTAAGTGTAAAAGTAAAGTAAGTTAATTATAGAAAGATGATAAAGTGTGGTTTCTTATTTATTCTCTATTTTAAAATAATTATTTTT